AAGGAGCCAGAGTAGGGTCCTGAAGGGGCAGGGCCCTCAATATCCTGACTGATCCTGCAGCTTCAGGGCCATCATCTGGTGCCCGAACAACGACCCCAGAAACGCTAAAGAACCAAAAAAGCAAGGAGCTATTGCAACCATAAACATTATAGCAGTAAGAGCCCCCAATAAAATGACTAATTAAAAGGAGTGAAAAAATACACATAAAAATGGAATGAGCTACTTTATAAAGAGCCAGAAAATAATCCCCCAGGTAGCCTATTGCTTGCTATCTCAACACAGAGGCATGGTTTTCAGTTTCTGGATAACCCCTTGGGCCACCCCTGACTGGTTGGTGTAGGAACCACATTTCTCCAAACCTCGCTGATTCTGCAGGCCGCAGCTCTTAAGGAATCAGCCTGTGTCTGCAGAGCTGGCAGACCTTAGGTGATCTCTTCTAGGGTGTGGGCCCGGTCCTGAGAAAGTGCCAGGAACACACGTAGAGAGATGTCCAGACCTCCTGCGCCCAGTCCAGTACTAGTTGGTAGGCCCGACCGAGGGCCACACACAAGGGAGGTGAGGGCAGCGGGAGTAGGGATGGCAGTGAGTGGCACTGGGATCTTGGCATCGACAGCAGCAATGAAGACATCTGAGATTTGAAAAGTATAGGTGCTCATCCAGGGGCCCTACTAGGTTAAGTGGCTATGCCCTGGGCTGCTAACCACAAGGTCAGCAGTTCGAAACCACCTAGCCCTTCTTGGGAGAAAGATAGGGCTATTTCCATAAAGAGTTACGGTCTCAGAAATCCAGAGGGGAGTTAGTTCTACCCTGTCCTACAGGTTGTCATGATATGGAACTGACTCAATGGCAGGGAGTTTGGTTTGGTTTGTAGGTGTTAGACCCGAATAAAAAGAAAACCCCTGCTCCGTTGAGATAAGTCAAGAGAAACCCACCAATGAGCTTTGTTTCCTTCCTTCTCCCAGTGAAGGTGCTAATGCTGTTTCTAGTCATACAGAGCCAGAGTATGGACCACCGAACCGTTTTCAACATGCATGATACATTCTTGAAAATCAATTCAAACGGTGATCGGGGAAGTGGTTGAAGGGATTCCAAGGCACTGACCTTTGTTAGTACCTCTGGCACCTTGAACCCACAGGTGTCCAAGAGGCCTGCTGCGTGGGGCAGCCTTGACAAAACCCAAGAGTTCTTATCCAAAAGGCTCTGGAGGGAAATGATAGGGCACCGTGTATACCAGAGGGTCTGATTCTATACTCCCTCCTCCTGTGTCAACCCCCATCCCCAACCCTCCATCCCTGGGGTACAACTAGGGTCTCTTGCTTGTTCCTTAGGAAGTCAGGGATAAAGTACAGTTGTATTTGGAGGCTGGAATGCTCCCCACCTCAACCCCAGAAGTACTCGTAGAGGGGCTTGCTTCACATGGAGCAAGAAGGCATTGACAACTTCAATCTTCTCTCCATTCATCAAGATGTTACCTATTTATTGGCCTGGTTGGGATGGTCTTAGTAGGTGAAAAAGGCAGAACCAGCAAGGATCCTTCCACTTTGCTTCAGAGGTGAGCTGGTACGGCATTTTCCAGGCAGAGTTGACAATGACCAGCTCCACTGGAGGAGGACCCAGGTCAGCGGAATTCTGAGGCCCTGTGCAAAAAGGGTGGACTTCAAATCAAAAAAACAAAACGCATTCCTAGCAAAGGTAGGAGTACTGCTAAAGACCTCCCAGGACAATACCGTGTGGTAGTATAATTATGAAGAATAACAATAAGGTGCATAGGTGTGACCACTGAAAGGGACTATAGCAAGCAAAATCTAAAGTTGACACAAAAACTAAGGTACATACAAATGTCAAACCTAGGAAGGGTACCCAAGAAGTGCCTTCCTCCTGGCGGGAGGTCGAGTCCACTCACCGCTTCTGGCGTTTCCATATTCGCTTCTTAGAGGTGTTTCAGGCCGTGGGATTGGTCCACTGTTGGTGTTATCGGAGGTTGGGCTACTTTCACCTGGGTGAGGTGGGCCCACCGTTCTACGCCGTGCAGTTTCTCTGCAGTGGAGTGGAGATTAGCACTTGTTTACGTGCTTCCCCATAAGGGTTCCTAGCTGCTGCCGTGGCCACACTTCTGGAAGAGGGAGGAAGTCCTGCTAATCTCTCTGAGAAAGGGATAAAGCCGCGTGGACTCATACCGTGGACACTGAAATTGGATTTCCACAAAACACAAAAGAGCAATCGACACATTAGAGGGCACGCATAAAGGCTTACCTTTGGTAAGAGGCAAACCTGAAGAACAGCACAATCCTGGACCAGCCAAGGCAAAAGAAAATCTGCCGCGAACTACTACCCAAGCCAATTTAGTGATCGCGGAATCATTGGATGAAGGTGGCAGCCTCGTCATCCAATCACCGGAGAGTTCAAGAGACCGCTGTCTGGATTGGTCCGAGGAATTACCTTTCTAGGTTCTTTCGGCAAGCAGCGCCTTCTGACCAATCTGAGCACCACAGGGGCGGGCCTTGTCGCCGGAGTGGCGTTTGTCCTGCCCGCCGCCAAAGGAAGGGGCGTGTCCTTGGGGCTCCGCCTCCCGGGGCCGAGCGCGGGCGCGCGGAGTGGGCGGGCCCGCGTGGCCGGGGCGGGGCG